ACCTTTTTTTTTTTTTTGGTTAATTATCATGTTAATTGTTTCCAAAATTATTTTTTCCTAGGTTAATTCTCGAAATTCAATTTAATTTTTCCAAAATTAATTAGATTTCATTAAGGGTAATTAAGTAAGTACGTAAAATCAATGACTCAACAAGAGCCGAGAGTCCGACACGTCAGCAAAAACACTTCTCAAATATTGTTTTTTTTTTTTTGGTTAATTATCATGTTAATTGTTTCCAAAATTATTTTTTCCTAGTTAATTCCGAAATTCAATTTAATTTTTCCAAAATTAATTAGATTTCATTAAGGATAATTAAGTAATTACGTAAAATTAATGACTCAACAAGAGCCGAGAGTCCGACACGTCAGCAAAAACACTTCTCAAATATTGTTATATATAGATAAACAATCTTTCAAGTATTAGCATGACATTTGCATACATGAAAAAAAGAAGGTTCAAATTCTAAGCGCATTAAATTAAGAAAAACTGGAAAGCTAAAACAAGGGTTAAAAACTACACATGATCTTGTGAAAGAATAGGCAATTAGAGTCAAAACTTGCTAAATGAGCTCCTAGATCTAGGGTTTAGTTTGAAGATTATAGGGAGAATTATTATAATTAAACCACATATTTTTTGTTCTTGTTGATTGTTTTTGGAGAACTGTTGACTCTCATTAATTTAGTTAGTAGCAACAATTTGTTCCCATCCGTATTTGAAACCTACATATACGTATATTTGTATGTCTTTATAAGGGCTGCAAAAAGAGTGGGGAAGTTAGAAAACCCTCATTTCTTTCTATTCGGAACAATGACGACGATCTCTGATCTTCCAAGGAATTTGGTAGGGAAGATATTGTCTATGGTTCCGATAACTTGTCTTGGAGCGGTGAGATGCACTTGCAAAGGATGGAACGCTTTATCCAAAGTTCGGATTCTATGTAAAGCCGAAACAAGGCATCAGTTTGTGGGGTTCATGATGAAGAAGTATAAGCTTTGTTCAGTGAGGTTCGATCTCTTCGACAACGAACGCGAATTCGTGGATCCATCTGTAAAGGAGTTGGGTGATTTTCCTGAGGAGGTCTCAAAAGTTTTTCAATGCGACGGGTTATTGTTATGCTCCACAAGGGACAACACCAAGCTCGTGCTTTGGAACCCTTATTTGGGTCAAACCAGGTGGATCCAACCCCGAAGCGCTTACCACAGATTTGACATCTATGCTATCGGATACGACAACAACGGTAAACACAAAATCTTGAGGTTTGTGGATAATCATGAGATAGACGGGATTTTTGCGTACGAAATCTATGATTTAAGCTCTAATTCATGGAGGGTTCTTGGTGATATCACTCTCAACTGTGATGCGGAGCCTTATCAACGCGGCGTTTCTTTGAAAGGAAACACTTACTTTATTGCCAAGGAAAAAATAGTATACGAAGATGATGTAGAGTATCCAGTGCCGCCAAACTATTTACTCTGTTTTGATTTTACGGCGGAGAGCTTTGGACAGTTTCTTCCTCTGCCGTTTCAGCACCATGATGATTTCGATGCTGGAGCTCTCGCTTCTCTTGGGGACCAGAAACTCGCGGCCTTAAATCAGTGCGAGGATAGAACAGAGGTGGAAATTTGGGTTACAACTATGATTGAGCCCAATGCAGTGTCGTGGTACCCTTTCTTAAAAGTTGACATGGAACCACACTATGGTTCTCATTTTATGTTTAACTTTTACGGTGGCAGTTTCTTCATTGACGAGGAGAAGAAAGTCGCCGTGGTTATTCACTTTGACCCATCTGAAGCGACCCGCCACGAGGACGCAGCTTACATCATTGGTGATAATGGCTACGTTAAAAAAGTGCATCTTGGAGAAGCTGTGCCTCACATACCAGGAGCTCTCAACTTCAGCCACTTTCAGAATTGCTGCCCACTTGTGACTTCTTGCTCTTATGTTCCTAGTTTAGTGCAGATCAACCAAACTGCTCTGCAGGATTCATAAAGGAAAGAGGAGCAGAGGAGGAGGCCAACCAATTAACAAGCACAAAAAAGAAGCATTAATAAGCTCTTTTCCTTTCTTGCATCTCTTTTCATTCTGTTTTGTTTTGTTTTTCTTTCTTTTTGCAGTGTCCTTGTGAACAAGACCAATCAATTATCATTATTTTCTTTCTATTTTGTTTAGTTACACAGTTTTAGCTTGATCAGAAAATATACAAGTGTTCTTATTTATTCTGACTCTGCCAAATTCCATCCTACATTTGTTGTCATTTATCTCTCCTAGTTGTATAGACATTTGTAGATATTGGGAGGGGGAGGCTAGCTTTGGGTGGAGGTGGTGGCTTGTTCAGTGGCCACGATGATGGTAAGGAGGATGAAACAGAGGAGGAAGTGGAGTAAGGTGTGAGTATGCCATAGCACTGGAGAGATTGCAAAGATGGTTTGGTCCCTGAAAGCGTAAAAAATGTTTCTCTACTTTCGTTGATGATCTTCCTAATGGGTGAGATTTTTACATATCTCAAAGCTTGTTCATTTGTGTTTTTTTTCATTTGAGATATAGGGGAGTTTGTTTGTCCAAAAAAAAAAAAAATATAGGGGAGTTTGTAAGATGTTTATGTGGATATAGAAAAATAAATGTCTTATAAATAAAAATAATACAGCCGACAAAACCGCCGGTTCTTTGATTAACCAAATATTTATGTTTGTAACATTACCCTGCTGCAGATTAGTCGATAATCATATTCTCTATGTTCCTAGAAGATTGATGTTCTAGAGTTTTCACATATATTAAGAAGCAATCATTGTTTAATTATTTGTCAATTATTTTTTTATACTAAATATTTTTTAATAACTTTGAACCAATAGTATTAGAAAACAGTTAATCATTACTTCTTAAAGTTTACGATATATTAATTTAATTAATAAAAAATAAAACAAAAACCTAAAAATTCAAATTTTGTGGAACAAACTAAAACTCTGGAACATCGAATATCTAAAAATAGAGGGAGTATTTCTTAACTAGAGTAGGGTCATAATAATTCAAAAACGCCATTGCTCAAATATTTTCCTAATAAAAAATACCACTAGTTTAGAGTCTAGTAGTGACATGATGATGTACCTTGTACGCAAAATTTGGATTTGCATGTTATTTCGGTTAGTTTATGAGATTTTATAAATGTTTTTCCAAATTAATTTTAATATTATGGGCTAGTCCAAAGAATCATAAAAGCCCAAAACGAAACAATTTTACAAACCCAATAGAAAAAAAAAAAAAATTTAGGGCTCGACTGACGACTGGTGTATAAATACTTTTTTTCTCTTTTTTTTTTTTTCTCTTTTTTTTTTTGTTTCTGAAGCAAAGTTAGATAACCCTAATTTTTTCCAACTGAAAACAATGACGATGATGAGTGATCTTTCTTTCGCAGGATTTGGTAGAGGAGATACTGTGTAGGGTTCCGATAACTTCTCAGTGAACAGTGAGATCCACTTGCAAAGGATGGAACGCATTATCCAAAGATCTGATTCTCTGTAAATCAGAAGAAGCAAGGCATCGGTTTCTAGGGTTCATGATGAAGAAGTATAAGCTTTGTTCAATCTTCATGGAACCTTCAACGAAGAAGGAGCTAACGAATTCGTGTATCCATCTATAAAGGAGTTAGGTAATTTATTTAATCAAGTCAAGATATCTAGAGTTTTTCAATGCGACGGGTTATTGTTATGCATGACCAAAGAGGACAACACTAGGCTCGTGGTATGGAACCCTTATTTGGGTCAAATCAGGTGGATCGAATTCAACAACACTTACCACAGACAGCTATGCTATCGGATACGACAATAACCGAAATCACAAAATCTTGAGGTTTGTGGATTTTTACGACTCTAAAGTTAAGCACAAATTTCTCGAGTACGAAATATACGATTTTAGCTCTAATTCATGGAGGGTTCTTGATATCACTCCCGATTGGGAAATAGAGTCTTATCAACGTGGTGCGTCTTTGAAAGGAAACACTTACTTTATTGCCAAGGAAAAAATAATATTCGAAGAGGATGGAGAGTATCCAGAGCCGCCAGATTATTTACTCTGTTTTGATTTTACGACGGAGAGCTTTGGACAGTTTCTTCCTCTGCCGTTTGAGCACTATCTTTACGATGCTGGAGCTCTCTCTTCTCTTGGAGACGAGAAACTCGCGGCATTATTTCAGAGCCCAATGCAGTGTCGTGGAATCCTTTTTTAAAAGTTGATATGAAACCACATTGTAGTTTTGGTTTTCATTTTCACTATGACGGTGGCAGTTTCTTCATTGACGAGGAGGAGAAAGTCGGTGTTGTTATTCATTTTGACGCATCTGAAATGACCCGCTACGAGGACGCAGCTTACATCATTGGAAAGAATGGGTACGTTAAAAAAGTGCGTCTAGGAGAAGCTCCTGCGAATCAAGGAGGATCTCTCAACTTCAAGTATTGTTGCCCACTTGTGTGTTGTAGCTCTTATGTTCCAAGTTTAGCACAAATCAACCAAATTACAGGATTCGAAAAGGAAAGAGAGATGAAGAGGAAGCGAACTAACGAGCACAAAGAAGA